TCTGCAAGGTTGCTGAAATTCTAAGTCACAAAGAGATCAAGTCCAGATGCTTGTCGCGGCGTTTCCGACCGTGGATCCGCATAGGCCGTGGTTGGTTCGTGATACCGGGGAAATTCGAACCACAGCTTGTGCGTTGAATCGCATCAGCGAATGCAAAGAAGAAAAACGACAAGGCGGCGGGAGAAATAGACTCGAGAGCCGCCAATGGGATCAAGCGTTGGATCCGAGCGAATAATGATGCCCAGGTAGATTAAGGCGAAAGGGCCGGTATCTCCGCACAAGTTCAATCAAGTTGAAAAGTTTGGAGACCCAAGGGGTCCCGAGACAAAGTCATATCACGGTGATACGCGGGGTGTAGTTGACAGCGCAAAGTCCCTCTCGGAAATCGCGGAAGGGTTCGGGATGAAAGTTAACGAAAGCCATACAAGCATTACTTGTTTGCCAAGGTGTCGGAATATTGATACCCATGCTCCGGAAAGTAATCTTCATTTCGTTCCGCGAATTTTCCAATTATATTCAATGAAAGCTTGAACCTAGCTGTGTTTGTGCATTGATCTCATCGATCGATATGACATGTGCTGATACCGCGCAAAAGTAGCCATGTTCCGGTCTCGATGGACCATTTGTGAACGGATGTGGAGAAAACAAGGGGGCATCGAAACAAAACAACAACTCGGCGCCTAGCTTCAAGAACAGAGTCGTCCAGAACTACAAAGGTAGCGGCTGTGGCCCTGCCAGAGGATGAATTGGAGAGAAAGATAAGAATGGAAATTCCCGTCAAGACGGCCCTGGCAGAGTTCCTGGTTGTCGATAGTGATGGAATGCGCGAGACGGCTCTAGGACGGCCGGCACGAACCGAATATTATTGGATCCACAAAAGAAGTACTCGAGATGACAGACTGAGACGTTGACTTTTGAGATCGATTGCCGACATGAGTTAGACGGACATAACGGTTATGGGTGCAGCAGATGTGATAAAGGAGCCAAATGGGACTCCCAGGACCCTTCCCTCAAGAAAAGTTAGAAAACGCCTGTGGGATACTGTAGAGAGAAGTGCTTGTGGTAAGAGAAGAAGAGGCCTGATCCAATCACTTACGGCCACGAGGGGCGGTGACAGCGTGACTTGTTGCTCTTTCGTCCCGCCACAACTTGCTTGGCCACAAGTGACCACTTGTAACCGGCTCCGTCTAGCACCAAACATTCTGGAAATGTCTCCCTTTGACTCTATGCCAATGCCAGCTTGACCACATCTTTTGGTGAGGCTTGGCAAAATTTGGCTCATACTTATTTTGGCTCTTATTCTTCTCCGAGTCTCGTCTTTAACCCGGGCTATGTCGTCGCCAAATGACCTCGTTCTGTCTCCGGGGCCGATGAGAAGAAGAATAAAAGCTGCATCTGCCTCTCAGGACCTCCGGATCCCGGTGTGCATTGCACTGACAAGCGGCAGAAACATGAGACGCGCCGATATCTTGCGGTCTTTTATAGTCCTCGGTTCACATCCTTCTCGATTTACGGCATATTCAACATCAACCAGCATTCACTCTGCTCCGCTAAAGGACAGGTTGGATTCAAGCCAGCCTCTCTCCGCTGCATCTCGGTGCATTCCGCACCAAGACAAAGCAGGCCCCATCAATATTAACTTTGATCGGAGTTGTTTTGAACTGAAACAGAGTTGGCGGACAGCCCTGATAACCATTGATAGCAAACTGCTCCCTCCTGCTCCTCTAGTCTGCCCGCTGCGGGAATAACGGTTACGGCACTCGGCGAATTAAGAGCTCACAGGGACTTAATCCGGTGGGAAGCGCATCGGGAAAGAAGCATACTCGAAAGCGGGGTTACTAGGATGAAATCAAATCGACCCCCGATTTGACGAAACGCCAGCAACAACAAAATATAGCGCACGCGCCCCGGGAAGCGGGCCTAACCATAAGTGTGCGTCTGCTCAGATGCATATAAACCCACGCCCAAGTATCCTTTGTTCCTTCCGATTCCGACCGCCCAGGCGAAGGCGCAAGTCAAGAAACAAATTCAAAGAGGAGGATGCAGCGTCCCGCCGGGCCGCAGCTGCCGAGCATCCGTACGCTGCACCCGTACCTCCCGCCGCCTGCCGCCATCGACCCCGGGCCGCCGACGTCGACATCGAATTATATGCAGCAACACATGCCCAGTCACGCTGGAGGAGGGGGTCGGTATCCCGCGTCCTCGTATGCTGGGTCGGAAGGCGATGGCGACGAGCGCGACGCTGCAGGCGATAACGAGCCCCCGAAGAAGAAGCGGCGGCGACAGGCGCTCAGCTGTACGGGTGCGTCGCTGTATCTGTCTCTTCATCTTGGGCGCGGAACTGATTCCGGGATGATATCCACAGAGTGCAAACGGAGGAAGATCCGGTGCGACAGGCACGCATCGTTCCATTATTGATGCGCAGGTCACTGAATTATGGTGGTGACAGGACACAGCCGTGTGGGCCGTGCGTGAAGAGGGGAGACCAGCCAAAGTGTCAGTGGCATGTTGTCGAACTCGCGTGAGTCGCCTTTCTTATTTTTTTTATTTTCGTCGTGGTGTTTGGCATGTCCAGCTCCTCGAAGTGCCTCTCAATCCTTCGACGCTCGCGTTCTGTATCCCCTTGCCGATTTTTTCGGTTTCTTGGTGGTCCTTGTCCCCATTTATTCCCGCATTTATTCATCATTTCTTGCAATAAACCTAAACATTCTCCAGTGCAGAAAAATACCTTCCCCGCTCTGAATACGACACCCTGCGCGTGCGTGTCGACACGCTTGAAGAGCGCATCAGCTCGTTCGAGGACTACATCTGCCGCCTTCCACGAGAGGTCCTGGCTTCACACCCCTTACCGCCAGGGTTAATCGCCTCACAACCCGAGACAGCGCAGAGTCAAGGTTTCGATCCAAGGCAATCGCCTCCGTATAATCATAACTCGGCGTCGGGCTCAGGACCAGCGTATGTTCCGCCTGGCTCAGGAACATTTTCCAGCCACGCAGGTGGAAGTGGAGGCGCTGGCTCGTTCTCGGGCAGCATCGCGCCTTCGCAAACACAGACACAGGCGCATCCCCACGCTGAATCAGGAGGCCTCTCGCCGACGCAGCGACGTGCGACCTTCTCCCCCATTCGGACCATTTCCATTCCGCCCGATACGCACCAGCGGCAGCGCAGCGGCTCGCAGTACGGCCACCCAGAAGCAGCAGCCCCACCCCAGAATACCGTCGCACCCGCGGACATACACCGTGACCGCCGCGCAGTATCCAGCTCACCGGTGCATGAACGAGGCCGGCGCAACGCCAGTTTCTCCGCAGCCCAACCGCAAGGCGGACAATGGGGCGAAGAAGGACTGGGGCTTCGGTCTTTCCCACCGGTGCCGCAGACGTTCTCAGTGGCGGGTTCAGCATCTGGCTCAGGTGGTGCGAGTGCAAGCGGACGCGGCAGCGGAACACCTCCTGGCCAGGGGAGAGGCACTGACGGCGGGGCCTCTTTTACGTCGTTCCCCGCCCTTTCAGGCCCTCAAGACGCCTCCCGCGCGCTTTCTACTACCTCAGGGTCGCCCCCGTTCGCTTACTCGTCTGCATTCTCGCCAACCCAGGTGCCTAGCCGCACCCTTGCTTCGCCCCGCTTCCCTACATCGCCCGCGCTTGGCTCGTTCTCTATCGCGAGGGCAGGTGGCAGTGCGGGCTCCAGCGCAAGTAGGACGAGCCCGCCCTCCTTATCGACATTCGCTTCTTCCTCGGGATCGACCTCGGGGCCTGGGTCGGTATCTTCTTTCTCATCAGCGACCCCCACGACGTACTCGCCATACGCCTCCGTCCAGCCGACTGGGTACACGCCGCTGCCTTTCCAGGACAACCCAGGCCAGTACCGGCACATGCACGTCCACCCTGGCGACGGCGACGGTGCTGTCCCCGGACGCGTTCCCGCGCACGCCCTCACCCGAATCATGCGCCCCGATATCAGCGTCGCAGCGGGCAATGTGAACGTCAAGCGCCCGCGCGAGGACATGGCGTCAAAAAATCGGCCCGCGCAGGCGCCCCAGGGCGCGCGTCTGCGCGCTCGCCCAAGGGCGCCCTGCAACCAGCTCCGGCTCCTACTGCGCCGCGCTTGCCCTCCAGTTTGGCCCCATATCACCAGGCCGATGCGCGAGCCCGAGGTGCTGCGGGCTACCCCGGCGATAAGGAGGGCATCGACCGCATGTTGGTGGACGATGACGATGCGTTCCCGGCTTCCCCCGAGGCACCGGTATCGTTTGGTGGTCCGCTCTCCCCGCAGCGCGCGCCACCCGCGCACCCGTAAGACCTTCGATCCCGCGACGGGCTGAGCCCCCTCCTCGCTTCCACGCTAGTGTCATCCTCCCGCACGATACCGCACAATACCGGTAATCCCCTTACCCGATGTGTTGAGCGTAGCGCGCGCACGCTGTGAGGGACGTGAAGCAACGCCGGATTCCTTTTCCTACTGCATATCGTCTCGGCCCAATCAATCAATTACTGGCCCTCTCCTTCCTTTCATCTACTCTCCTACTCACTGCCGCACCTATATTTCCTCGTCTTGATGCGATGTATCCACCCACCCCTCGATCTCAGCATATCCCCACGTAACTTACCCTACCTAATCTTGGTGTATATACAAGTTATCCGTATCTACTATTCGCGCTCGGTACCCATCGATGTACTGTAGTGACTACACACTTCAAATATACCTACAGGCCACCTAACTTACCGCTAGTATACAATACAATATAGCTATCACCTCCACAACGCTGGCATACTACCGCACAGTTATTTTGCTGCACTCATCAGATTCGCCTGGGTATTTTTTAGCCAAATACATTCTATGTATGCATACAGACGTGACGTAAATGTTCTGGATCTTTCATACAATCATACAGGCACTAAGACAAGCTCTGATAATCCTAGCGCTGCCTCAAGTGGCCCGCGAAGGTGCGGCTGCATGAGAAGGAACACATTTCAGGGCCAAAAAGAAGAGAACATTCAAAATGACCACCGCAGGGGTCGAACCTGCAATCTCCTGATCATCTAAGCAGTCAATTCTGGCTGATCGTAGTCAGACGCGATGCCATTTCGCCAGGCGGCCATAAAATATGATACTAGCTAGGAGTCTCAGTACTGAGGACTTTATAACAAAATGTTTTCTATTTCATGTTGAGATCCGAGAAAATGACGAACAAAAAAGTCAACATTAGATCGCGAATGCAAGGAAGGAATGCTTGCAATCTGAAATTTTCAGCTCAGCAGGAAAAATGAAGAAACATGACAAAGTTGCATCTCACTCTTCCCAGCTCAAAAAGTCATTAAACTCCAAATATTATTACAGGTTTCCACCAGTCAGTGGGACACTTAAGACTGGAGTTTGAGCCAAAAATTTAGCTAGGGATATGTTGTGAATACAGGTTGTTCCAGCTAAATATGAGCAGAATAATGGTGGAATGCACACATGCAAATATTTGTGAAATATGGGCTGAATCTGCAAAATATTCACGGAATATTGTGGCCCATATTAGGGGAATTCCCAGTAGGCATTATTTTCCATTTGTGTAAGGGCAACCTCAGCTCGGCGCGGGAGCGTGGGAACTGGCAGGAGAATCCGAAGTAAACTCAATTCACAGTACTAAATACAGAGTTCTAGAATACGCACCTAGCGGGAGAATCTGAAGAGAAGAAAGGATGAGGATTCCCACGCTAGGCAAGGTTTTTGTAGCAAATAGGTACTAGCCAGTAGCACGTGTCCGAAGTGATCGGCAGTGGTCCCGAGCTTGATCGCATAGCACGTTCCAGTGCGAGCGGCCGGACGAAGGGGAACGAGGGGGGACAGAGTCCGGAGGGACAAGGGGCAACATTCTGGGCGGAGGCGCGGCCTGGGGCTCGGGCAGGGGTTCCGGACGGAAGGTCGGACGGAGGGGCGAGGCCGGACGGGGAAGGGGCTCTGGACGAAGGATCGGACGAGGCAGTGGAGCAGTGCGATGGCCAGAGCCGGATGGACGGATGGACAGACAGACGGACAAGCAGTTCCCCTGATATCACCCCCCCCTTGGAATGCGGTGTTCCGACGCATGAACCAGACGTGGGTGTTGCGCTTCCGGAACGAGAGTGAGTCGAATTCGGCCAAGGCGATCCTGCGCAGGGCATTGGGGTAGCGGCGATAATAGGCATCAATGGCGTCTTTGGTGAAGACATCGGAGTGCTTCACCCACTTATTGTGTTCCGGGCCGTAGCCTTTCCACCGCACCATGTACCAGAGGCTGCCGTAACGAACCTTCGCTTCTAGGATCTCCTCGACCTCCCATTGAATATCACGGTCCATCTGGAGGACGGGTGGTGGTTCGTCATTCTGGGGGCGTCCAGGGAACGGGTCCGGTTCCGCGAGTTGGAGTTTCACCACTGGAAAGACCGGGTGGAGCTGGGAGTACCGTGGGGGAAGCTCTAGCTTGTACACACCCTTTCCGACACCCTTCACGACTTTAAAGGGGCCGAGACATTTGTCCGTGAATTTGACGGACGGACAGGCCGTCCGGATGTCAGAGGTGTCCAGCCAGACTCGGTCACCTACTTTGATCTCCAGGGCAGGCGTGCATCAGCAGTCGTAGTACAGCTTGAACTCATCTTTGATCTTAATGAGTGCGGCTTTGGCTTCCAAGACTCCGGACACGATCCGGTCCTGGAACTCGTTCGCAGATTCCATGGTCAAACACAATCCGTTGGGCTCGAACCCCATCCGGGGGAGCCTCCCGGTGTCCGTCTAGTTCGTGAAGATCCGGACCAACTGCTTGAGTTCCTGGTTGACACGCTCAGTTTGGCCGTCGGTTTGTGGGTGGTAGGCGGTGGAGGTCGCTGGTTCTATCCCGATGAGGCGCCACAGCTCTGTAGTGAACTCCGCGACGAATTGCGGTCCCTGGTCGGAGATGTATTTCCGAGGGGTTCTGTGGTGCCTCCAGACATTCCGGTAGTAGAGCCGAGCGGCCCCGACTGCGCTGAGGCCAGTGTGGCACTCATTAAAGTGGGCTCGCTTACTCAGGACATCGACCACAACCATGACCGCGTCGAATCTGTGCGCGTCCGGGAGCTCGACGATGAAGTCCACTGAGACAGTGTCCCAGCGTTCTTCCGGGATCTCAGTTGGGTGGAGCTCTCCGTGGGGCAGCTTCTGGAGCGCCTTCATCCGGTTGCACGGGTCACAAATCCGGACATACTGGCTGACGTGGCGGGACAGCTGGGGCCACCAGTAATTCCTGGCAATGAGCTCGAGGGTTTTGAAGTGCCTGGCGTGTCCGGCAACCCGTGTCGTGGTGGAGGGCAATAATCCGGTGCCAGAGGTCCTTATTCTGTGGCACGACAATCTTACTGCGGTAGTGAAGGAGGCTGTCAGCGATGTGCCACTCGGACGACTGGGGGGAGCAAACATTCCGGTTCTTGAGGAGTTCCCGCACGACAAGCACAACGGGGTCCTCAAGCTCTGGTTCACTTGCGAAGGCCTCCTGGACGTCGCGAAGGAGGGGGACCTTGGTCCCGGTAACCACGACACCTTCCAGCGCGCGGATGTGGAACAAGTCTGGGCAAAGGAGGGTGACATCCGTGTTGTCCGAGCCTACTCCGTGGTCTGGGCGCGGACGACCCATGAGGCAGCCGGGCTGGTGGTGGAGCGTGAAGTCGAACCGGGACAGGTACAGAGACCACCACGCTTGTCTCCGGTTCAAGTTCTGTGCCTTCCAGAAGTACTCCAAGTTTTTATGATCCGTCCAGATCTCGACTGGATGCTGCGTTCCCTTGAGGAAGTGTCGCCACTCCTCTAAGGCTCGGATGATTGTGAGCATCTCCTTATCGTGGATCTCGTAGTTGCGCTGGACGTCACTCAACTCTTGGAGTAGAACACGACCGGATGCCACTTTCTGTCTGCATCCGGCTGGGACAGGAGGGCCCCATTAGCATAGTCGGAGCTGTCCACCTCGACTCGGTACAGACACAACTTGTCTGGCAGGACCAGGACGGGCTCCGCAGTCACCGCATCCTTGAGGGCTTGGAAAGTGGCAGCAGCAGCAGCGGTCCAGGTCCACGGCTATACTCTTCTTCGTGAGGTTGAAGAGGGGCCGCACGATGTCTGAGAACGCTCGGATGAACCTCCGGTAGAAGTTCATGAAGCTGAGGAACTGCTGCACGTCCTTCTTGTTCTCCGGGGGGCCAGGCGCCAACTCCAGCGACCTTGACTGGGTCCATCTCGACGTGGTTGTGCGAGATGATGACGCCGAGGTACTCGATCGACAACTTCTCGAGCTCACACTTCTCCGGCCAGAGGTAAAGCTTGTGTGCCCGAAGCCGTTGGAGAACCTCTCGGATGATCTCCCGGTGGCGCACGAGGTCGGAGTAAGCAATGAGGATGTCGTCTAGATACACCATGACGTCTCCGGACAGGATGAGGTCTTGGAAGATGTTGTTCATCATCGTCTGGAATATGGCCGGAGAGTTGGTGAGGCCAAAGTACATCACCAGTGGCTCAAAGAGCCCTCGGTTGGTACGGAAAGCGGCCTTCCACTCATCGCCTCCCCGGATACAGACATTGTTGAAGCCCCACCAGACATCGAGTTTCGTGAAGAACCGAGCTCCCTTCAGGCAGTTAATGAGGTCATTAATCAGCGGGAGCGGGTATCGGTTCTTTACAGTCATCGTGTTGAGCGCCTGATAGTCCTGAATGAACTGGAGGCTTCCGTCCTTCTTTTTGATGAAGAAGACCGGAGACGCCATCGGGGACTTAGACGGGCGGATCCATCCGGTGTTCAGTCCGTCTTCAATGAACACGTCGAGCTCCTTTTGTTCGAGGGGAGAGATCGGGTAGACCTTGCAGTTGGCCAGTTTCGCATCCAGGACGAGTTCAATGGCGTGGTCCCACGTCCGGTGTTCTGGCAGCGCGTTGAAGGATCGCGACGGAGATCTTTGCGCTGCGACGGACAGTGCAGAGCTCATCCCAGCAAGTGCTGCAACTAGTCGGGCAGCGGGTCATTCAGACTTCCTTGGTCTCCCAGTTGATCTCCGGGTTGTGCTTCTGGAGCCAGGATGATGTGCTGCTTCCCGAGCCGCGTTACCGCGAGTTGGATGCGTTCGGAGTGCCCTTTGTAGTTGACGACCATATCAACCACACCAGAAATGCCTCTGGACGCATTGGGCGTGCCGTCGACATTGAGGACCGGGATGGGCTGGGAGAGCTTCTGGACGGGGAGGTTACAGGAGATCACCTACTCTGAGTTGATGAAGTCTCCGGTCACTCCGCAGTCGACCAGACCCTTCACGGACATTGTAGCCGCGGTCTCTACCGATTGCATCTCCAACGGAATGTGCAGGGAGTTCCGGCCCTCAACGGAATCAATAACGTACCGCTGGGGTAGTTTGCGCTCCCACCTTGGGCGGCGGACGCGGGGAATGAAAGGAAGGGGTTCTGTCTTCGACTCCGGGGCTGGAATAGGGGGCTCCGGCTTGGGGACGGAAGCCGGAACAGGGGGTGCATCTTTCGTTTCAACTGCTGATTTATTGGGTATATCTTTGTACAAGCAGGAGTAACGATTGGGAGACACGACCGAGGGCGCACTGCTCACTCGGCCGTGTCCGGAAAACCCTCCGGCTCTGCATCTCCGATCTCTGGCTCAGCCAGGAGTCCAGTGGTGGTGGAGAGGTGGGCGAAAAGCTCTCCGAGGAGATCGTCACCGAGTTGACAGACGACCTCGTCCAGGACGTCTGCGTGCCGGACGTCTGAGGGAGTTGGACAGTCTCGGGGGAGGTGTCCGGCTGTGCCGCAACGGAAGCGAGTGCGGGTCCGGTCAACATCCATCGGAATGCCAGGCGGAAGGGCGGTCGCCAGTGTGGCTTTAGGAGCAGGCGTAAAGGAGGGGACTGGGAGGAACATCCCAGTGCGGGGGCATGCGGCCGGAGCCGGAGCGTGAGTCGGGGGTGCTCCCGCTCGGACACAGGTGAGGGTGTTGTACTGGCGGAAAGCGTGGAGACACCATCCGGCGTAGTCTGTAGTCTAACAGCACCGGGGCGGTTCCGGACATCATGATCACCATATTAATCTGCGGATCGAGCCCTGCGCAG